TGTCTGCAAAGCGAGTCGGGAAGCCGCTCCCAGTCTTTCTTTTCCAGCCTTTTCTGCCCAAGCACCGCAATGGTCGAAAAGGAAACCAGAAACACAGGAAAAACAAAGAAACAAACAAAAAAAAAAAAAACCAAATCGCAGCAAGCCAACTCCCAGTTCCTCCCGATAAACCCAGCTGCAGATCCCACACACCGCCAGGCCCCCAGAGCTGGAGTCCCCAGGCCCTCCCGCGGCTTCCCCGCCGTCACCCGGCACCTCCTACTCTGCAGTGCCGCTCCCGCTGCCGCACTCACAAGGACCAAAGCCCTTTCCCCCCAGTACAGCCCGGTTCCTCCCTGGCAGCCTCAACAACACCAGAAGGGCTGGGGGGCTGCCGCAGCCCCCAACGACGGGTGGGGTGCACCAGGAGGGGCCGCACAGGGCAGGGGCGGCTCCCGCAGCTGCAACCCCGCGGGGAAGGGACCCCCGGGCGAGCCCTGTCCGGCACCACCAAGGGCCCTGCTCAGCCACCACTCCTCGTGTCGCCCACAGTTTTAACATTATTAAAGCAAGATTTAATCCAGAGCACCACAAGATCCGAAATGCGGGGGATTTCTATAGAATTATTTTTCTCTTTTTAATGACTGTGTTGCCAAAGTTGGGGAAATACAATCAGCATTCCCTGAACACCATCACTTTCATAGCTACCTGTGGTCAGGTGCCGATGGGCAGCAGCCTGCCCCAGATGGGCTGCAGGAATGGTGTGAAGGCCATTGTTCCCCAGGTTTGAATGACTCTGTCCGTGATCCACGGCCCACGGACAGAAAACCCAGAGCAAATAGGAACTCCCGCCAGATGCAGGCAGATGTTACTCCATTGCAGTTTTTCTGGGGTGGTTGTGAAGGTGTCCTTCCCCATTCCAAAGTGGAAGTCATCCCCTGGGCAGAGCCCACCCTGATCCTTGGCCTCGTGGAAGCCCATTTCCTTGTCACAGCCCACTTCCTGCAGAGAAAAAAGGGAAAGATGGCACATAAGGAAGACATTTTTCCCTGGAAGGGTGGGGAGGTGGCTTGGCACAGGAAAGCTGTGGCTGCCCCATACCTGGAAGTGGCCAAGGCCAGGCTGGATGGTCTAGAGGAAGGTGTCCCTGCCCATGGCAGGGGGTGGAAGGAGATGATCCCTGAAGTCCTTTCCAACCCAAACCACTCCAAGGATCCCAGGATGGTTCCACGTTCTCTCTCTGCATTTATTTTGCATCATTTCCTAACAAAAACAAAATCTCCAATTTAGTTGATTGCTAAAGACATAATTTTAAAATCACCCCAGGAATAAAAAGGGATTGGAAAACATACAGAAATCATTCCTACACCCATCAAATCATTATTAATTGGAACCCAATTCCCTCATCTCTGTCCTTGTTTTTCTTGGCTGCAAAACCTGATGATCCTCACTGGGTATTTTTAGAGAGGTTTTCTTCCACAGCTCCTTTCTTGCAGCTGAAACCTGGCATATTCAGGGCTTAGTTGGAGGGAAGCCCCTCTGAGGTATTTCCTCTCATGCCAATTCTGTGGGATGAAGAAGTAAAAAAGCAAGTCAAGAGTTCCTTCTATCCCCTTCCTTCACAAACACCCTCCCAGTTTGTCCTCGGCAGCTCCATCCCCTCAGCACCCACACACCACACACACGATGCTTCGGCTCTGTTGGGAAAGGGACACCAAGTGCAGAAGGAAGTTTAGTGCTGTGCAGGGGCTCCCTGGGGAACTTCAGCGGTTTAGTCCACGGCCTTTCCTGCTGCCCTCCCTCCTGGAGACAGAGCACGACCCATACATTGCTCTCTCCCTTGTTTCTCCCACACTCACAGACCCAGGTCCTGATCTTTTGGCCCCACTTTTCTTAGCAGACCCAGCATCATTTTCAGGTTCCCCAGGAAACTTCTGCACTTTTGACCCATGGGTAAGTGCAGAGCGTGGGACAACAGAAGGACAAATTTCTCAGCACGTACCACCTGGACGCTCCATAACACGCTCCTGTTCCCGCCGTCTCTGTAGGCGCCCACAGAAGTTCTCCTTGTCCCAGCCCTGCCTAACTGACACACACACAGGAGAAATCCACAGGTCCTGCTTGCACAATTCCTGACCCTAACCCTTGCCTGCCCTGTCCAGAGCTGAGCGAAATCTGTCAGAATATTAATAAACCACCTTTGTTAAGATCAGTCATCAGCCCAGGCCTTCAGGCTTTGCAGGAGTTTGTAGGGAACTTGTAGGTTTGCCTAGGCCAGGCTCTGGGCTTCCTTTGCTTTCTTCTGCTGCAATTATCCTGTCCGGGTAAGTGTTAAAATACAGATTACCCAGTGAGACATGCCCTGAAACAGCAATCAATTCCGACTCCAGAAAATCTCAGTGCCACACTTAGAAACTCTTCAGCAAGGGCCCTGGAAAAGCCAAGGGGAGGTGTGATTACCTGGAGTCCCAGGGAACTGAGGGCAAGGTGGGGACCGAGCAGAGAGCAAACACCTCCAGCTGCTTCTCACTCCAGCCCCCATGGCAAGTGCAGCTGCCCTGGGATTTCATGCCCCTCGTGCCTCTTCTGAGCTCAACGGGTGAACAAACGGGCCCTGCAAGATACACGTCCTCTGTACCTGAGGCAGCACAGATCCCCCGCGAGGAACTGGAATCCCAAGGGCACATCGAAACACGGTCCTCCCGCCTGCCACTCTCTCTGCACGTCCTCTTTCCGGCGGCATGCAGGTGCGGCTTCCCAGAGGCCTGAAAACTGCCTGTCCGTTCCCCTCCCTGCAGTCCCCGGTGGCCAGGCGAGAGGCACAAGAGTGGCCGTGCCCCCGCCGGGCCCCGCTTACACGGGGGACGATCTCCTGGAGAGCATGACGTTGCATCTGCCGCCGTGTGCCGCTTCCCGGGGGGGAACCGGCGGCACAGCCCCTACAGCATCTCCAGGGCACTGCGGGACCGAGCGGGACGGGAAAGGGACAGAGCGGGAGCGGGACGGGGCTGCCGGGCAGGGCCGAGCAGCCGCCTCAGTCCTCGCACGTCATACCGTGGCTGCCCCGCTACGGTGCCTGCCACCGCCGACGAACCTGCCGCCCGCGTCCGGCGCTGCCGAGCGCCCTGTCCCGCTGCCCCGCCCTGTCCCCATAGTGGGAAGCACCGCGGCGAGACGGCGCTGCGAGCGTGGGGTGGGGGTCGGGGACGGGGTGGAGCTCAGGCAATAGGGTAGTTGCCTCTCTGAGGCAGGGAGCCTCACTCTGCCATCTTCAGCGTGGCTTCCGAGGACTCCCGGTGTGGGCAGTGTCATCTTTGATGTGGCTTTCTGCAACTTCCGCTCCGGGGCCGCCATCTTTAGTGCTGCCTTGGATGATTTCCGGTCTCGGCAGCGCCATCTTTAGAGTGGGCTTGGAGGACTTCTGGTCCGGGGCCGACATCTGTTTGTACGGCTTTGGAGAAGCTGCCCTGCCTAAGAGAGATGCTGTGGGACTGCTGGGAAACTTCTCACCGTCAGAAGTGAGGCAGAAATAAATTCAGAGCACTACCTCAAAATATTGGGGGAAAATACTAAAACATTCCATTGCCGCCCTTTTTAAACAAACACCAAACTACTAAAATACAACAAATAAATTGTAGGCTACAACTATCTGGCCCTTTCAATTTAACCAGTGCAAGTCAGTTGGTAAATGATGACTTATTCAAGGTTGCTCAGGTTGTCTCAAACCTGATCTTCACTTATGATGGGAGGGACTTTATTCCCCCTGTCCCTGTCTTGGGGTTCAGGGGCTTGAGAGATGTGGGAAGAGATTACCATTGAAAACTGAGGCTAAAAAATTGCTAAGTACCTCAGCCTCCTTCATGACAGTTGCCTCTAGTTCCCCGTCTCACTTATCAGGAGAGTGTGGAGGGTGTGGTGTATGCATTTTCTTTTCTGTTCAACACACTTCTAGAAACCTGTAAAAACCCTTATTATTATTTTCCGAATCCTTTGCCAAATTAAAATCCAACCCTGCACTGACCTTCTTGACCTCATCTCTGCTCCAGACAGCACCCCTATAATGAAAGAAAAGCATTTATTGAAGACAAGTGTGAGGTTACAAGTAATTTGAAATTCAGCCATCCAGGCATTCTAGATTAATGGCCTATTTAACTGCACACATTCCACAATTCTGTACACTTTACATTCACAGAAGCCTGTTGCAAGAATGACATGCATATTCAAGAAAGGTCCAGTACAACTGCCCTGATCTATACTGGTATTCAACAATTGCATGGTTATAGTGCTAACATTCATACTAAGAAGCAATGTCACAGCCAGATAGAAAAGTAGGATGTAAATCTGAAACTGGATATTAAAGAGCCATCGTCTTCTAGTTGTGAGCTGAAGTACAGTGTTCTTGCTAATCAAAGATTATACAGACCTGTAGCTGTACAGTGTCTTCTATACTATATAAAAAAAATTATATACGTAGGAAATGCCAGATTTGGAACACAGAAGTAGAAATTTGCATGTAAAACTTCAAACAAATGCCCACGGTATACCAGGCATCTAATGTATTCTTACCTTTACTGGTTTACAAGTCTTTTGTGTGGGCAGGTTCCTCCATCTTCTTTATTTGGCAGCTGACAGACCCTGTATAAGGAGGCAAAGAAAGCAAGAAAATCAAAGTTAAATTAACCAGATTCAAGATTTGTCTTATAGCTTTTGAAATGCACATTTCCAAATACAGGTAGTTCTGTCCTCACCTGTATTCTGGAGAGGCTAGTAACACATTGCACATATTAAACAGGCACGAACTTGTAAACATAAGCCTTATAACTATAAAGCCAAGGTGAAATTTGAAGCCCAGTGTTAAATGTTTACCAAGCTCTTTGTTTCATTCAGAAATTGGAAGCTTTCGGAATGCCAGTTATAATGTTAGCTATACCAGTTGGTATAACCTCCCAAGCATTCTGCAGCAACCCAATCAGTATGAATGAAGGATTACCTGTATAATGTTTCTCAGTCATACACATGCAGACAGACCATTGAAGGGTTAAAAACATGGTGTTCTTGGGTGCTCTTGGGTTCCCCAACTCTCTTTCTGCAGGCCCTTCCTCAGAGCCTGGATGAGATCAAGTGGTTCTGTTGATTGTGACCATTCATCCTCCAGAAGCAGGTGATGGAGGGAAAGGACAAAGGTAGTAACCACAGTCTCCTGCTGAGCAGCATTCAGCCTTTCAGCACTCAACCACTGCAAATTTGCTTTTGCCGAAGAGGCATATAGCAATGTTCATTCAAAGGCATAATCCATCTACCTAGGTTCATTATTAATGCAGCTGCTACTATTAATACTAGATGTCTGTAATTTTATAACACAACAATTATAGAAAAATGCACTACAGCCTCTAAAAATGTTACTATATGGCATAGAATAGAAGTGAAAAAATCCAGCAATGCACAGCCCTGCTGGCTCCTGTTTGTGACACCTGGTGTTAGGACCAAGGCAAGTGACCAGGTCAAACCAAAGCTCCATCCTCTGATTTTCAGAGAAGGAATTTCTTTAGGGCTTGCTGTGAGCTGGAGGGGAAGTCAACCTAAATATCCACCTTCTCAAACTGATGTTGCAGGAACTGTCCTTCTTGGCAAATTCACAACTGAGTCCACACTTACTTAACCCTGGAGGTGAAGAACTGAGAAATGTGAAGCAGCCGTTCTTATGTTCCAGTGCCCTCATCTCACTGATGTGTTACTGGACTCATACCTTCCATTCTGGATCTAAGGCATGTTTCTTTTTAGCCAGGTTTAAAACCATTACTTAGTCTCAGTATCGCCATATATGTCAATTCGATTCTCATTTTCCTTATTTTTGTTTCTTGCTTCTTGTACTCTTTCTAAAGGTTAATTTTATTCTTTATTATCACGTAATGTCTTTCCCATTCCCAATGATCATCTTCAGGATCCTTACGGTCTCATGCCCGTGTGGGGCATGGGCAGTCCAAACAAAACATGCCACAGATGTAAAGGGCTGCATGAGTTATTGATGTTTCTTCAGAGTTGCTAATATCACTCGTTATTTTTCAGAGCATTGCTCTGGATATTGCCCTATAATTTTCTTGAACTTATTTTTAATAGTCTGCTTCATTCCTAACCACTGCTCCAGAGTGCTGTGGGTGGCAAAATATATGCAGCCTTTGTTTAATTCCCTTCTTACTCCTGAAGGCTTGAATTCCTTCACTTACCAAATCTCCTCCTTTTTATCTCATTCTCTATCTTATGCTAGCCAGTGATCCATAACCACAGCGAATTTCCTTAGACGGATATTTTTTTACACTGCTGAGTTTCTTTCAATGGGGAGTATTCAACCATCCCCAAAAAATGTGTGTGATGATAAGCAGATATAATTTCTTTAATTTAGAGCAGTTTATATAATCTATTTGCAGTATTTACCAAGGGTGCCCGGCTCTCTGATGCAAGAGATGGGAGCTTGGTTTCAATAGTTTGCTTACAGAATTCAGCTCAGTGGAGAAAATGAGATGGCATGAAGCATCTCACGAGAGCCTAGAGCTCTGCCCCCACACCGAGACACCTTTCAGTAAAAACAGCCCACAAGACCGAGTGTGCAAATGGCAACCCACTCACACGGCCCATGCCCACCTCTCGCTTGGAAGAAGTGCTCCCCTCCCAGCCTCCTGCTCCCCTGCTCCTGATCGCCAGCTAGGAAGAATCACAGAGTCTAGTAATCAGAGAGCAAGATACTGAGAGAAAACAGATCTGAGAGCCCCGAGGAAAACAGGAAAGGGAAGACGTTTAGTCCAAGCCTTTGCATTTATATTTTTTCCTATCGCAAAGCAAGGTTGGTTTGGTTTTGGTTTTTTTTCCCTTCTCTTTCTTCATCCTGTCAGCAGACATACACTGTAGAGGAAGCTGATCTGCAGGGGCTGCGTTTTTAGCGGATATGACTGCAGCAATCAGGACCTCCTGAAGCACATTGGCAAAGATTGCATTGACTGTAAGATGGGTCACTTCCTCATGGACAGTTTCAAAGTTAGGTAAAGCAGGAAACTGGGGGAGGGATGCCCATGTCACACTGAGGACTGTTTGCAACAGGGACTGAGAGAGAAACTGGGTGTGGGTGGAGATGGCCATGGCCATGATAAGGCTGTACTGATGAAGTCATAACCAGCTTCTTCAGCTAATGAAGAATGTAAGTGGAAAACTAGGGGAAGTTAAACACATGCAAAAATTTGATCTGGTGAAATGCATTTTTGCTCAAGTATTTCAGGTTCTTGGGAGATCCTAAAGTGCTATACTTACACAGAAGGGAGAACAAGCAGTAAGGACAGTCTGGGCACTCTCAAGGGTGCCGGCTAACCTCATCTAGCGAGCACTGATTAGGAAGCTCCAGGACTTGGAGGGGATTTGAAGTTGGTTGGATCATACCGTAGGTTGAGGTTTGTAACCACACCTTATAGATTCAGCCACACAGTAGGCAATCGTCATCTTGAAGTCTACGCTACCTGAAACCAAACCCTTTATTTTCTTTGGAGTACCTGGAGAACAGAAGTTCTTTACCACACCAAGGTATCTTCCTTGCTGATGTGAGGGATCTATAAGGAAAACTGCTTCCAAGGCTGACCTGAGCTCAAGACCGTAACTCAGAGGAGATGTCACCATAACTCAGAGGAGATGTGCTATTAAATAGTTACTGTTAGCCTTGATTCACCATGGAAAGGCTTTTCCTTCTCTAAGCCTCTCTGACAGGCAAATATTGCTCAGCTTCTCTATATCTTAGATTACAGTAAAAATATAGTTATGATTTTGTCAACCTTTTACAGAGTGCATTACAGATAGGGCATTCCAGCATTCCCCAAGAGTGAGATGTACTGGAGCAGGTTGTTGAATCTACTAACTACAGCCTTATTTGCTGTCTCATTGTTCAGGTGAACACAGGGTGCTAAGCAAGGCATGGTCAAGAGGTAAGGAACAACTCTTAGAAGTATTACTTTGAATATAGTCAGGCTTTGGGAGTGGTTAACGCTTTCCAGGGTCTGTGCATTTGCTTGTACAGTTTTGATCATCAATACCCTGTATCCAAAGCATACACATTTAAGGACAATATTCTTAACAGGAAATGGAAGCTCTTGCTTCTAATGTTTCATTATCAAAGAACCTAAGTTTTCATTTACCTGGTTTCCAACAGCTAAAAGAGAGTCTAAATGTGAATGTAAATCCCTGAGAGTATTTCAGGAATCTCCCCCTTATTTAGTGGCAGAACTTTAAAGGGATGTGAGATGAGTCATCAAGAAAAAACAAGATAAAGCAATACATTAAATGAAAGGACAGACTCAAAATGAGGTAAAGCCAATAGCAGTAAGTGGAAGTCCGCAGGATGCAATGATTAGTTCATCAGTGGGTGGTTACGTTTTGCGAGGTCTGGAAATGTTGGACTTCCCATATTTTCCCTATGCAATAGACCTGAACACTGAGGATAGAAAACATCTGCATGCCCTAAACATACCAAAGTCAGATTAAGACCATAATAGAATCCTGCCCTTTGGAAAACCTGAGGCAAAATAAAAGATAAAGAAATCACTTCGAATTCACCGAAACGAAATTTCTGGATATGCAGTAGCTGCTAGGAAGTATGAGGATGTAACAGAATCTTCTGTTTCCATACATGCTTTCCGTCTTGTTAACAAGTACAAACTCTAGGGTCCCATGGAGTACCTTTAGGACACCTAAAGGGTTAATCAGGGCTGGTATCTAGGGATGACAGGAATAAACCCCCCCCCCCCAACAACCAATCCTACAGCACATATTCCTGCTTTAGTGACAGCATAAGCATTCTGCATTTTGCCAGGAACCTTGCTCTGCTGGTGACTTAACAATTACTCATTTTTCTATGTGCTGATAATTTTCTGTTTGGAGGGAGCAAGCATAGAATAGAATTCCTTCAATGTTCACTCACACATCAGCAGGAGAGCTCCCTTCTCTTCTTTTGCACTCTAAGCTTGCTGCTTTTGGACTAGATGTGGAGACTTCACTGTTTCCTCGAACTGGGTTTAACAGTGAGGGATGTTAAACTTTCACTGTGAAGATCAACATGTTGGCCTGAAGGGGCACTTAGGTTTCTTTAAAACCATGGTATTCGAAACTATACCACCAGCAGGAGCTGCTTAAGAAAATGCGGTGCTTGGCTCTTACGTGCATTTTGTCTCAGCATAAGACATTTCTGTGTGCACAGTGCTCTGGGCCAGATATTTTTATGAGAGCCTGTAATGGATCTGACTGAGCTGGAGTTCATTTTCCCACAGTAGCCCTCAAGTGCTGTGTTTTGCATTGGTAGCTAGAAGGGTGTTGATAATGCACCAGTGTTTTGGCTACTGCTAAGCACAGCATCAGCACTGTAACATTCCTTCCTCAATGAGGGCAAGATCCTGGGAGGGGACCCAAGTAGGCCAGCTGACCCAAACGGACCAAAGGGACATTCCAGACCACATGACATCAGCTCAGATATAAAAGCTGAGGCAAGGAGCAGGAAGGGGGGCATTCATTGTCTAATGGCTGCCTGCTGAGAAACCATCATGCATGCTGAAGCCCTGCTTCTCGGGAGTGGCCGCCCATCGCTCATGGGAAGTAGAGAATAAACC